TAACCTATACTGGTGCCTAGCATTCTTCCTCCTCAGGTGCAGGACCCTGCACTTGCTTATGTTGAACCTCATTAGGTTCCTCTCTGCCCAGCTCTCCAGCCTGTCCAGGTCCCGCTGGATGGCAGCGCGGCCCTCTGGAGAGTCAGCCACCCCTCCCAGTTTGGTATCATCAGCAAACTTGCTGAGGATACACTCTGTCCCCTCATCCAGGTCATTAATGAATATATTAAACAAAATTGGACCAAGTATCGACCCCTGGGGGACACCACTGGTTACAGGCCTCCAGCTAGACTTCATGCCACTGATCACAACCCTCTGAGTCCTGTCACACAGCCAGCTCTCAATCCACCTCACTGTCACCTCATCTAACCCGCACTTCCTCAGCTTCCTAATGAGGATGTTATGGGAGACAGTGTCAAAAGCCTTGCTAAAGTCAAGGTAGATGACATCTACAGCTCTCCCTTCATCCAGCCAACAAGTTACCTCATCGTAGAAGGCCATCAAATTGGTCAAACATGATTTACCCTTGATAAATCCGTGTTGACCACTTCCAATAACTCTCCGTTCCTCAATGTGTTTGGAGAGGACATCCAGAATGAGTCGCTCCACTAATGCACACAAAAATTGCTAACTCAGGACAAGAGGAAAAAAGTTAGATAATAATAGGGAACAGGGAAATCAAGTTTTCCAGATACAAGGTTTTGCTTTAATGACCTCCAGTTTGTCTGCTGGTTGGTTTTTTTTTCAGTTTCCCAAATGGCACTTTTAAAAAGTATCCCTTGGGATTCTTACTTACATTTACAAAGACGTGGGAAATATTCCCCCTTCTATTTCCTTTAAGGTCTTTCCTCCCAATAGCTCTTAGCTGCTGAAGAAAAAGCAGTATGGGGGCGGGGGAAACCAAAGGTAAGCAGACTGACGTATATGTAAGTACAATAACCACTTCCCATGGTTTCTCAGTATATGGCAATTCAAATTCCAGTTTCAGCTGCCCAGTGCTTTGAAAAAAATTCTTTGCAAAATCAAAGACTCCCATACAGCAGACAAGGACTTCACAGTACCCATGAATTTCAAATCAGATCGTCTGAGAATAGTAAATGCTGCCATTTCTCCCCAGCCCAAGAATTCATATACCTTAAATCATAGAAACAAAAACATTTATTTCTAGAAATATGGATATACAAAACTAAGGCACACTATTGCAGACCTAGACAAAGGTTTTGGTGTAAAACAGCAGGGAAAAAAAATAATAAAAGATTTCACCTGATCTTTTCAGACCCAAAGTCAGAAAGATGACTGAAAGAGCCAGAAATTGTGGAAAATCAGTTTTCAAGCACATGTCTGATTAAATCCTGCCCTCTACTTCCATGCATAAAACACATATTCTAACATTATTTTGAACCTTGAAACATAATTCTCTTGCAATGCTAAAGCAAATGTTTGAGCTATGTAACGTGCATTTACTTTTCATATATGACACAGAACAAAATATACAAAACAATATATACAATATAGATGTAGGCCTTTAAAAAAATTAAAGAACAAAGTCATTGTTATTTGCATTTAAACTGTTGTTATTAGTGGGGTTTTTTTTGTTTTTTTGTGGTTTTAAATTAACATGTATCATTTCCTTACCTTGCAAACGGTCTCTGTATCCCAGGGTAAGATGGTCCTCAGATCAATAACTTCACAGGACACACCAAGCTTTTCTTGAGCCATTGCTGCCACCTCTTTGATCACATGTACCTGAAAAGGCAATGTATTACCACCAAGTAAACATCTGATTTCTGTTTAAGATGTTCTAAATTATGCCTACTGATAACAGCAGTGATTTACCATATTAACTGCATGTTTAGGAGAAACCTTTTTATTAAGTAATCTAATAAGTGTTTATTACTTAGTTCATTCTTCGTATTTACTATGTCCATTATTCCTAGTATTTTAGCACCACTTCAAAAACTAACTTCAATGAAGAATTGCTAAAAACAAAACTGTTGCTTCCTAGAAAAGTATCTTTCAGTGAACAGCATCAGGCCTCACGATTTTATATTTTTAGTCAGTCTGGGGGTTTGAATAAGGGTTTTTTTAGGACTGTAACTAAATTAACACCCAAATATACCAGAGTAATGTATTTTGATGTAGCAGTCACATGAAATTCTGCAAGAAGCATTACATACATTCAAAAACAGCCCTAGTAACTACCCTTACTGCAATTTACTGAAAGTGCAACGGATTACCAAGTGATCATCTCCAAAGTATTATCTTATGAAGAGTTAGGAGAGATAGTAAGTACCACATAAAAAATTACCCGTAAGTACCACATAAAAAATTACCCGTAAACATCCAGTCCCAACCCCCACAATTACACATATTGGCACTAACATGACAATATGACCCTTCACTAGTCTTCCAACCCAGTTTAATAGCAACATTACAAATGTTGCATTATTTCATTATTATAATTAACATTTAACTAAAACAAAAAAGTATTCCCCTCTAGCAAGAGGCTTATACTAAATTAGAATACATGTTATTCATTATCCAACAGTCAAGAAATATATTTAGCAGCATATGTAAATGTGACAAAGCGGATGTAAACCAACCCACATCTATTAGCATCCTTTCCATAAGGTATGTTATGAAATGAAAAGAAATCAATACTTTCAAAACTGTATCTTCACATTATGCTGTACAACAATTTAAAAAAAAACATATTGTAAGCATTGGCTTCCCTAAAACAAGCATTAGCAAGTAAGTGCTCCGACACGGAAAGTAACAACTGTTATGACAACAACTCAGATTATCCTCCACAAATATCTCAGCATAAAGTATTTGCTCATGAGATACGAGGGTAAAAAAAAGAATTTCTTGATATGATGTCAATAAACTCTGATGTTTTCCTTATTGTTAGAATGTTTCATAATACAGGTTTGGACTGAGGCAGATGAACTCCATCAAGCAACTTCTAGGCATAGGTAAGGGGCTGGAGGCCAAGAACCATCTCCAATAAGCAATTTGGATGAGGTCATCATGGTCTGGAAGGCAACAGAATTTAATAATATGGACACAGTCAGGCAGTGTCAATTGCCTGAGGGTCAGAGAGCAGTATTAAATTCCACGTAGAACAAAAATCTATGTTGAAACAAGATGATTAAGGATTTAAACATGCATCTACATAAAGCAAATGTGAACAGCTAAACACCGAAGGACTATTTTAAAAGGTAAATCAGTAAAAGTATTGCAACACGAAAAAGGAAAAAATAGCTTGCAATGTTTTTGTTTGAACTTCTAATACATCTGTGGCTGTAATACGGTTTGAGAATTTTCAACGTGACACATGGGATGGATGTTTTTGCCATTTCTCCGATGTATAAGTGAGAATGTTTACCTAGTTCACAGGGAATAAGGATTAGTTAATGACCATAAAACACTGAGCACAACCGGAGAGGAACTAAAAGCCTTTACTGCCTCTCATTAGTATCACCCAGGAAAGCAAGCATCAGGCAACCCCACCGGAGCAGCAGCTGCCAAGCAACTACCTAACATCCAAAATAATATGAGAAGTAACCAGTGAGCACATGCAGTCACTCTGCCTATTGACAATAAAATCTGGATCGGTTGCACATGTAGCGGTCAAGTTCCAAGTTTATGTACACAGCCTGCAAACACTCTCAGCACAAACTCACTGAGCATATTTGATCTGCAGAAGCCTGACACATCCAGAACATGGATTTACTGTGTACGTACTAAGCATCTGTCCCCACGCTATATTATACAGCCAACACCCATGGTTTGGTCAGCTCCTAAATTTGGATTAGGACTGCACATCTGTCCTATTACTATTCACATCAAAAGAAGTGCCTGTCTTAACACTTGGCCTACATTTTCCAAGCTCCAAAGCACATAGTTTTCTTGAAGGATGTCACTCCAAGTCCTCTCTGCTCTACTGCCTACTGGTTAAACTCAGGATACTAGTAAATTGTCATAGCCAGCTTTCAAGCCATTACTTTATCAATTCAATTTTTGGGAATACAATGAACACTAAGATTTCATCCAAAGGGAGCAAAACTTTGCACTTTCAGAAGGTAACATGGAAAACTATAGAAATTCTTTTCTGCTGGAGAAATGAGTACAAGTACAGATATTGAAGGAGTCCATAATGTAATACCAGTGCAAAGTATCAGAGACTAGTAGAAATAACCATGCATTTAAAGAAGATCAAGTAGTCTGAGGACAACGAAACTATCACAGAAGAGCACTGAAGATTACAGTTTTCAAACAAAAAAACACAAAAAAAACCAAAACCCCACAAAACAAAAGGCACCACCCCAGAGATCAATTCAATACTCCTGTAATGCAAGTTATACACTCTCTCCTCTAAAAGCTTCTCAGACAAAATTAGGCCAGGAAAATAGCAATTTCTTAATTATAGGTTAAAGGCAATAAAAAGATTTTTCTGGTCATTTCAAATTAGATTCAAATTTCTTTTCTATAATTCTTGAAAACAAATGTGTGGGGTTTTTTACCAGATTTTTCAGTATCTGCACATCTTAATTGCAGGGAGCATGCAATCATATTCTTGAACAACTTTGAAATATAACAATTTTACATACTTTTGATTCTGACAATTTGTATTATATGTTCAGTGGATTTTAATTCTCTGTATAAAGGGAACCCCAGACTGCACTCTTTTAAATCATGCAGTAAAAATCTAGATTTTTCTTTCAGCACAGTACTTTGAACTCTCCTTTCCCATTGCCTTCCTCAGAGTCACATCTCACTGCCCCATTCTTAAATATATCACTTTCGTAATCACAGATAAGTCACTAGCTTCCTGCACAGGTACCTTTTCCACATTTCCAGAGTCAGCTTCAACCAAAAATGAGCAAAGCCTTACACAATAAAAAGCAGGTTTCATATAAACACTGGCAATCATTTATTCAAGCATATAGTGATGGAAGACGCACACAGTTTATTGTCTGGCACTTGAGCCTGAATGCAGCGCTATTCAAACACCCTATTCAAATACCTAACCTTATCCTATCCTATCCTATCCTATCCCATCCCATCCCTTAGCCTAGGCTTTGCTGGATGACAAACAGCTTGGTAGAGCCTTACTGACCTGAGTGCCCCAAGCAACCAGTGTCACATCACTGCCCGTCTGCAGCACCTCAGCTTGAGACAGTGGAATGTTGTAGGGCTCCACAGGAACTTGTTCCACTGAGTAAATAAAAACAAAGGAAAAAATAAGCATTAGATTCCTTTACTATTCAATATTATCCCATAAAAATACGCACTAAAACTTTTCTTCAATGTTAATGCCATCTAAAACAATATACCAAAATCACATTCAATATTAGCCTTTATTTTAAAGACTTGGCTGTGTTTAAAAGCTGTGTTTTTAATTATATTGTTAAAAACAAATTCAGTGTAGTGTTTAATTTATGTTGTTTACCACAGCAATATATACACATATACACAACAATGATAGTAGTAAGTCCTGGCATACCCCAAGTCAAAATATCAGCATCAGATTTGGAGATGGACCCTGCTACAACTGATAAAAAAAATCTCAAGTAAACACTGCAGTTAATTCTAATAAACATCAGGAGAGCCTTGAAATTCTACTTTAATACTCAGACAAGAAGGAAAAGCTGTGCCAGCGCCCTCCTGATATCTGCCAAGAATGATGCTTCACAGTTTTATGTCTAAATAGAGGGGGAAAAGTGTTCAGGACCTACACAGAAAGTGCCACCAAGAAATTGTGATTACAGCAGTTTTAAGTTAAATATTATTGAATTTTTTTAAAAAAAAGTTATCTATTCACCAAAAATACATCCCAATTAGAGAAAGTAGACAAAAATTAAACATCTTGTCTTCTCTAAAACATTTGAGGTGGTTTCACTCAACTTAAGACCCATTTACTAGTTCAGATGGAAATCCATCAGGTCAGTTGTGCTGGTTTTGAATCAATGCTCCAATGATTCAATACATTGACTGGTTTAATGATGAAAACTGTGACAAAAGAAATCCATAAATCATATCTTAAAAGAAATATTGTTTTGATCTAAAGGTGAACTTGTCTATGCACCAGCAAGTCAAATAATACTTCTTAAAATAAATTGGGGGGGGGGGAATAAAAAAAAAAAATATATATCTTACTCAACTCTTTCTAAATACACAAAAACAATTTATAAAGAAGGCACTCCACTTTTTTGGTGACATATTTCATAGTTCATTAAATAGTTATTGAGTT